ATTATATATAACATTTCATGGGAAGCTTTCAAAAAAAATCTAACCCCATTAGGGCAATACCCACATTATATATTTTCCCTGCTTTCCTGAATGCCTCTTGTACAATTTCTGATGGTTTTCACTTGGAAAAAAAAAGCCTGTATTTTGATTTGTAGTCTCATTCAGTCTTCTTTACTAACTAAAACCCGGGGTTAGACTATAACCTCAACATAATCACAGAGGCCACATAATAGGTTGGAGGAAAACACAAATGTAGTGTCAAATAACCCAGAAAAGAATCGAACCCATCACCAATACGGCCAAGCGGGTATCTCAACATGAGAATATTAAGTCTTAATGCTCTTACCTGCAGTCAAAATCTCTTTGGTCCTTGCTTATGGAAGATGCTTGTGAGACAAAAAAAAAAAAAAAAAAAAAGGAATGCTTCACAATATTTGAACAATCGTCATGCACTCATCAAACGAAAGGGTCAGAACCAACTCCCACCAAGGCGATATTCTGGAACATTCCTCCACGTCTGCCTACCCACTACTACTAGCCATAGCTTAACTCATGCGCCGAGAAATAAAACTCAACTTCTGTCACTGAGGCCCATACGAATTGCATCCAATGCCACTTCCTTGTCTATTTGCTTTCTGGTTATCTTTTTACAACCCCCTTTGACCTTTCCCCCCACCTGCCTGATATCCTTCCTTCTCTTCCTCGACCCATCCACCATTCATGGGTTTATCCCCAAACATCTTAACATTTGAATGAATTTAACACTGACTGAGCATTCAGAGGTCATGGTCTCTGCCTAGAAAGTATCACATTCTATGGTGAGGAGGTATATAAGAGGCTTTTTATACCTTCTAGGGCAGTGGTCGGCCAACTCATTAGTCAACAGAGCCAAATATCAACAGTACTTCTTCAAAATAGACTTGCCCAGGCCGAAAACCGACTTCTGCGCACGGGCCACGAAGTTTCAATTGCACTGTACGCGCGCGCCTGCACGTGGTATTTTGTGGAAGAGCCACACTCAAGGGCCCAAAGAGCTGTGGCTGGAGAGCCAGTTTGCCGACCACGGTTCTAGGGTATCTGATTGGCAAGCACTCTACAATTTGACAAGCCTATGCTTTACAGAATTCACGGACGCTTCTAGATTTTAAACGACTGCAAACAGAACACTGGGTTTCCACATCACACCGGACATCACAGACACAGTACACCACCGATACTGATTCTTACCAGCATTTTCGAAGATCAAATCCACAGAACTGATCAAGAACTACAATTTGGATTGATCTAGAAATGTCAGCATCTAAGATGTCTCACTTCTTACACTGGGAACACCTCAGTTATAACTGTGGAAGATATGGGAAAATGTGATATATGCATACACCAACATAAAACACAAGGTCAAGTTCGCTCTTGGATCCTCCTCCTAGAAGACCTCACATTATTAAATTTAAAAAAATCATTTAAGAGAAAAACTATTCTTGTGATCTTGCTACGGAAGGTTTTGATTTCTTTTTTATTATCACAGTATTTTGAGAACCTCATCACTAAACGTATTTTATAAATGAAAAACTCGCTGGTATGCCTCATTAGCCCATCCACTTTTCATTAAACTTTATATGTGACTTTACTGTGTCTATTTTCAATGATGAAATACTTATACCATCCATCAATCAATCTACTCATCAAACCACCTGTCAGACAACCTGAAAACCATCCATGATGCTATCACTCATGTAATTAGGTTACCTGTGCACTGATTCCCATGTTCACCCATGAATACCCAGCCATCTAGCCATCAAACACATAAAAATCCGTATGTAGACAAGATTCACACATTCAACATCCTCTTCCACACACCACTAACCATCTCCACCTTCCCTTCATATTGAATCTCCCAATCCGCACATTAATCCATGCCACCCATTGCTTTTCAAAACATTCATTCTTTAGCTTTGCACCCAATGGCCCCGAGGTATAGTTTCATCCATCCTTACATCCACCCAATTGTGCATCCGTTTTCTAGCCTTGTAGCCAATCAGACTTTCCTTAAATTTTTCAGCCTGGCTATTGGGCTACCTTCAATGACCTTCTTGACATCCGACTGTAAAATTACATGGAATCTCCCACATCTCCCTTATGAGTTGCAATATATATTTTTTAATCACCCTAAAAAAAATCATGGAGGGAAAATAAAAGCATAGAGGAGTTCTGAATTAGTTTTAGGAATTGTCACAGCCTGATGGAGACACTGTATCCCGTCTCGACTCCCAGTATCCCCCCCAAAAGGTAATTTTGTAATTAGGCAAATTTTCAATGGCCAGTACCTTGAACACCTGGTTAAATCCCTCCCTTCTGTTTCTGATCCCATAATCATCACACATTCAAACCACAACTAGTTCCCTCCTTGTAGTTGACAGAACTGTTTCAAGCCCTATACTGTCTCAGCCAGCACTGAGGACATCACAGTAATCCTAGTGTTTGTGATAAAAGCACCATAAATGCCACTCTGCTCTCTTCACTTCCTATGTCCCAATGCACCACTATTCCCATTCATACCTTCAAACTTCACAATTATAAATACTCATCAATCCTTTTTACAGCTGCGCATGACAAGATGTCCTCTGAATTTACTGCAGATTAACTCCCTGGATACTAAATTCCTATGCATACAAGCTTTACATGTTACACTCGCACCATCACGATTTTGTGGGCTCAAGCCATCAGACACCTGAAATTACTGTAAATCTGAGAGCTGAGTTCATTGTATCTTGACTATATATTAAATTTATCTTTCCCGGATTTGTCTATCCTCGCCCCCGCCACGATTGCAGATAACTTGGTCTTTATTTTCTCATGCAATTATCCACTTCTGGGTTTTGTAAAGTATTACATCATTTACTATTTTTTAACATTTGGCATCTATAGCCAACACCTCTTCCACTCCTACTCTATACAAGTCTTATGTCCTACCTCAATAACCTGCTCACAGTATTGGAGGAATTCCCCAAGTTTTACCAAGGCCAGAAAAAGGCAATGTGGTCAGCTAGGCCAGGCCCTTTTTTCTTAGCTGTTTGTGTATAAATAAATCACTTAATACTTTGGAACTCTTTGAATGTATTTCTTTTGTCCTCACGACTGATGAAGGATATTATAAAGATATAAATCAAAGAGTGGCCACATTCATGAGCTAGGAACTCAATGTTGACAGCCCTAATCCTATTATTTGATATTTAGGTAGATAAAAGGTAAACAAAAACCAAATACTTTTTAATTTATTTACATCTAAATGGGATTAAAATTAATTTTATGCTACAAGCTATATAAGTGAACCTCATAAATTTATCCTGTTAATTTTTTAATTGCATTATATTAGCAAAATACCTTTGGGACACTAATATCAAATTCAATATCCTATAGTTAATAATGGGAAAGCATTCATCCTATATATCCTTTTAAATTTATATTTTTGATAGTTGAAATTAATCATATGAATAAATTCTACTCTTATTTAGAGGGAATAATGAAGATGCTATGATTTTTTAAATGAAAACCTTTCATAAGTGAAAGGTTGATACGAAACACGATGTGATACAGGAATGACCATATAATAAACCACAATGCGATGTATTCCTATAATATTCCTATAACCCATGGTGAAAGAATTAACCAGTCCAGTCAAGCATTTAAAACGACCACGGAGAATGGAGCAAGACATTTAACACAGCCACAGGGATGCCATCTAGAGGTAGACATGTAGTTTTTACAGGGCCAATGGCCTGATTTCCTCCACAAAAATCAAGAAAGAAAAACCCAAGAAAGATAAATTAACACACAAAATGGAATGGAATGTTTGATTCCCTGGATGATTTGAACACATAACACAGTATATTATAGGTCAATGATGGCGAACCTATGACACGTGTCAGAGGTGACACATGAACTCATTTTTTTTTGTTGATTTTTCTTTGTTCAATGGCATTTAAATATATAAAATAAGTATCAAAAATGTAAGTCTTTGTTTTACTATGGTTGCAAATATCAAAAAATTTCTATATGTGACACGACACCAGAGTTAAGTTAGGGTTTTTCGAAATGCTGACACGCCGAGCTCAAAAGGTTCGCCATCACTGTTATAGGTGGTACTGGGTTCATCTGTGATACTCGATATCACTAAGTTCTACTTTTCAGCAGGTTGCTTGTTGATTAAGCTTGAAAGACGGGCATCCCTAAAGGGTTATATATAATATACAAAACTAGGTCTTGGATGTTATTTCTTGGATGGGAGATGGGAAAATATAAGTGAACGTGCAGATTGTACTTGGGATGTGTTTTTAAAAAAATCTCATACATAGGTACTTTGAAAAGAATACACTAATTTTGGAATTAATGACATGCCACCAGTATACACAAATGGCTTTTGTATGACAGTAAGAAAATAACTATATGAAATGGGCAACAATAAAATCTACAATAGCAGTATGCCAACGTATCAAATTGATTAAAAATTGAAAGACATACCTGTAGTTGTATAGGAAGTCTCACTTAAAAGATTATTGTCTCCTAGTTAATCTAATTAGTTTGGTGCAAATGAAATAAAACTGCATGTTTCCCCAACTTGCAAAATAATTTTAAGCATCAAGTGACAGAAAAAGTGCGAGTATAGACAGGGCATATTCTGAAAAAGAAAAGAAATGAGATAGAACTCAATAGACTAGATAAGAATACAGGCATCAGTAATTTTGAAGCATCAATAGAAAGTCAGAAACACGGAGTCAACAGATTGAATTTTTGGATTTCAACAATAGAGAATTTAAAATCAGTGGTTAACGGTTTAGGTCAAGGTGCATAATGTCAGCATGTAATGCTTTAAAACTGTCGCAATGATTCGTGTAAAAAGAAATAAAATGACAAAAGTGATGAAAAGTAGAAGGAAGTACAGACAAAAATGTATGATCCTATTGTAAACGTTTTTAAAAAGAAAAACACCAACACAAAAGGCATAAAACAGAATATGATTATATTTAATGCACAAGTTTGATACAACCAAAAAGTAAAACAGCAGAGTAAAATAGTAACAAAAACATGGTATATCATTTGCAATGCATGAGAAATGGTTAACATCTTTAGTTATAAACAAGCTCTTAAAATCCAGTGACACTATAATAATGCAAGGAAGCTGGAAAAATGAAATGAAAAAGTACAAGTGATGATTAAGCAGTGAGCATATATGATTTTGCTGAGCAGTGATTAAGAATAACTTCTCTGCAGGGTCAGTGAGCAGAATAAAGACAGTGACACCTAATAGTCTACAGCTTTGAACAGTGTTGTGCAGTTTGAAGTCTCAAACAGGGGGAGGCAGAATAAAGAGAAGGACCTAGAATGAGGGGAAAGCTAACTTCTGAGTCTATATATAAATTGAGTATTTTTAGCCAGAGTAATTCCAATTCATTGGAATTTTTTCAACAAGTTAGTTGAATAAATTCTAAAGGAGTAATATAAAAGCATGTTTAATGCAGAGAAGATGCGTGGCCAGTGTAAGCGCCTAAAGCACTACTTGTCTACAATGTCTGAGCAGCACCACGAGGGTGCGCACTAACTCTATTAGTAGATGATAGCGTAGGGAGTACAGTCGGTTTGTACTGTGATCCGTATATATGGGGCCTGGTGGGTACCCGAAACATTGAGGGGACACTTTACTTTTGAGTATACCTGAAACTAATACAAAGTAATATTGAATGTAATCTAATTGAAAAATAAAAAGACATTAGATGACATGGGGAAGGGTAAAATTAAAGGGGAAACAAAGGTACATAAAGTAATAACTACATACTTAACAAATTTCTATGTTGCCTAAAATCTAAAAAAAAAGACTATTTTTAATGAATACATTTTAAATCTACGCTACGATAATAAGTAAAATAGAAATATATGGGAGCCCTGGAGGAGGCCTCGCAACGGCACGTCCAGGGCTTCGGGATTAAGGTCTCCAGCTTTCCATCTCTTGGTGCCAGTCCCACAGCAACAAGGACAACAGTCAACATGCTGCTTACAGTTCTCGCCATCACCCGCTGGGTCACCGTGGACACGCGCGCTCGTCCTGTCAGCTGGCAGGGAGTGTCCATGGCCGCTCTGAAGCCTGGCTGCGGGTGTTTCAGATGGTGGCAGAAGCAAGTCTGTTCCGGCATCCCCTGGGGCCACGGGAGGAAAGGAGAACAGGTTAGAACCTCAGTGGCATCGCATCACAGGGCAGTTCAAACTGTGATCAACAGTGTGTCTTACACGCGTGTCTCCAGGACGCTCCTGGGCCAGGGATGGAAGTGGGGCGCTGCGTGAGGACGCGAGGCGGTGGTGTCATCCTCGGGAACCATCATCTCCTGAGGGGAGAGAAACACTGTGAGGCCAGGCGCACACCTCCTCTTTGGTAAAATGACCCTTTTAAGCTATTTGCTCCCTAATTCTCAGGCGGGGCTGGAAATCCCCAGGTGCCCAAGGTTTTTCTAAGCCCAGCTAGAGCCTCATCCTAAAACAGCACTTCCTGTTCCAGAACCTCTTACCTGTGGTTCAGCTGAGCCTCAGGGAACAAGGAGCTCCACTGAAAGACAAAGGCTCCTGATGTTGGTTGTCCTCACTTGTCAAATTCACTTTCCTTTCCTCCTTTTCACTCCTGCAAAGCGGACAACAGAGCCAAGTTTAAATACAAATTAGATAGCAGGACACAAAGTAGAATAAATTTGTGATGGTCAGGGATGTTGAATGGGGCTAACCAACATACATGACTGAACAGACTATTTTTCACTCTCACCTCTCCCAAGCACTTTTAGCACAAATGTAGAGAATATTGAATGCTCTACTTGAAATCCTTCCGACACTCAACTACAATAAAAAATAGTCCAACCTCTAATTACTCCCACCCTTTCAATAGTTGCAACGAATATTCCTGCCCTGTCAACACCAATGCAACTGTTTGGCACATACCTGCAGTCTCGTCGTCTCCCTTCTTCTCTCCTTGGGTAATCGATTCTCCTCCTTCCTCCTCCTCACATGGTACAGCTCTGTGCTGCTTTAGTCTTTAAGTCACATGCTGTCTTGATCTCTTAAAAGCATTAAGCAGGCCCAATGGCAATACAAGGCCGGACCCACCGCCACACATGCCCAAGATGTTGATAGGCAAGATGGACGACAGGCACAAATTAGCTGTGCCTTTAAAATTCCTGTTGTTGAAATGTTCCTTTTGAAATACCTTTTAAAAATGTGAATGCACAAAGTAGAAGCAGTCCTTCCATTCACATGTCTGCACACTGAGATTTTGCCATAGTCGTCCAGACAACTTTCTCTTCCATACTCAGTCACTTTAGATTGTCATGTAGCAACATACAAACACATGGATGAGCAATGCCTTATTGTTTAACGAGCACATGCACAAAAATTCCAAAGTGTGTCGAAGCCATCACCGGGACAGTGACACTGATGGTGAATCATTGCCCTTAGCTTTTCTGGTATATGAACTAGAGGCACATGGACACACCTCTTGTCAATATACACTTGTTGATCTTTGTTCAAAAATGACAATTTTAAGTATCAATTTAAAACTCACATCCACATAAGAATGTTTTATCAGTGGTTAGATTATATTCTTTAAGTAAGCTATAATCATTACAATATTTTTCACTAATGTGTATTTCAGTTGTTCAATGTTTCTTTCAATTTATAATGTACCTTCAGCTTTGTCAATTTGATTTAGAATAAAATCACAGCAGTCACTTTTAAGTGTTCAATTCTGATTGTCATTGCCAAACTGCTGTTCAGAGATGATTTATACTTTAATCAATACTGGATTGGACCACCTTTCTAAGAAACTTTCATAATGTACATTACAGGCAACTGAGATACAATACACTTTCAATATTAATCATGACATTCAAATATAACAATTCACCAGAAAAAATTTTAAAGAGGTCTCAGAGAATTAAAATATTCATAACTAGTGTAATTCTCTCATACAGATGCATATAGATGAAAACATTGATAGAGTTGCTTAATTATCTCATACAAAATTAACACATTTACATGTAACATGAGGCTGGCTTTTATAAGTGTAAGAATACAATAACTTTCATAGCAAAATGAAAATCAAGAAGCTAATAAATGAGAAAAAAAGCATTTTCAGACCTATACCCCTAAAACTAATGTTACATATGTGTTAATATTTATCTAGCCGAGCAACATAGCAATTCCTTTAGCAATGTGCGCTGCTGCCATGTTTGATCACATCACTGAGAATATCTGCATGTGACAGAGGGACAGTTCTTGTCACCTATCTTTCTCCCTGAAGCTTCACAATACAAGTCTGGTTGTCACTGCTGTTACCCATCCCCGGTGTAGCCTTTCCGCCTACATGAGAGCCTAAGAAGATGAAGATATGTAGGCCATCTTGGGATTCCTCTCCCAGGAACTCACTGAACACCAGAACGCTAGCACAGCCTAGGAAGCAGATATTCACTAACCACCTATTACATTGCCAAAACATACCAGAAGCCAACTTATGCTAGTATGCAATGAAATATTTACAAAATTTTGCGAATCTCCCTGTGCATCTAGAAAAACTAGATGTTTAAAATGATGTGTATTTATATATATATATGCCTGCTATTTACAAAATTGTCCTGACTGTGGCTGTGTAAGTCCTATAAAATACATTTCCCATGATTAAAATACATAATGCCCTATCAGCTACACAACCACAAAGTGAGGACTGAGGTCTTTGATGTAGAACACTAAACAATGCCTTATTTCAAAAAGTGTAGGACCACTCCCTTCTACCCGCCCCCTAGCAAATCCACAGAGCAAGGATATATACATATAGCCTTAGCCACCACCACTCAGCCCAATATAAAAACATGGAATTGTACAATGAATTATTTACAAGAGTATACGTTGAGAGAATATATACATCTGGAAAGACTAGATGTTAGAAATTAAAAAGTGTATCTGCCTGTTATTTACAAAGTTGTCTTGAATACTGTCATGCGACCAAGGGAACACATACACAACTATGTATAGTTCCAAGAGGTAGTATAAAATCTGTTCAACGAAGCAACTAATACCTTCAATGTTAAAGAGAGAAAGAAAAAAACACAGAAGGATGAGTAGGCAGAGTACAGAGGATTTAGGGTAAGAAAAATAACCCAAATATCAAAATGGATATATGTTAATGTCGAAGTCACCTTATGGATGTAAAAGGCATGAGATTACCCTATGTGTTGGGTTGATTATTGCATGTGTGTGGGGACTGAGGTATATGGGAAATCTTTGTACCTTCCCCTCAATTTGCTATGAATTTTAAACCGCTTTCCAAAAAAATCTTAATAAAAAAATAATAGAAACATATTGGGAAACTTGGCACATCCAAGAAACACCAAATTCACACTGTATCTTAAGTTTTAAATTTATACTTGTTAGGATGGCCAGCATATTCTTCCATGTTGGGGGAAATGAATTATCTTGTACATTTAATTTTATTGCCGTGTTATTATTGAAAGACAATGGTAGGAACAAATATACAATAAAATATTTACAGGATTATATAGTTAGAGATTCTGTAAATATTCTTTAGAAAAAAGAATTCCATCCTGAACCTCAGTACATCTGGGAAAATAATATATAACAACATGGCCCTTAAATTGAGGTATTTTTCTATAAAATGACAATCAATTTCATGGTTACTATCTACTTTTACATCTAAATAAAAATATGAGGTAAAAATACTTTCCACTTATTTCACTTAGCATCCTATTCTCAAGGTCCATCCATGTTGTTGGGAAGGGGGTGGAGAGGTAGTCGAGGAAAATGGGGGCCAAATCGATGGTGATGGGAGAGGATTTGACTGTGGGTGGTCCACATGCGATGCAATAGACAGAGTCCATGTCATAGACATAAACCAGAAAGACATGAAGAGAGCATTAGAGATGAGGTCAGAAACATCCACTACCCCTGTTCAACATTCGGAGAAAGAAGTCTAATTATACTAATAGGTTGTGATATTAGAAAGTACATCAGCAATGAACAGGCGTTTTAAAGATAAATACACACAGTATGAAGATTAAAATTGGCAGGACTGGTGATCCATTTCAACAAGCAAAAAAAAGCGTATGTGCTATAATTTCAGGTGAAATAGATATAAAAATTTTTAAATGACAGAAATCTCGGCACATGTACAAGAGTATATGGTAGAAAAACAAAGATCTGGTCAGATTAATCACCCCCATTCACCCCAAGTGATATCAAACACTAGGGGGTGAAATAACACTTCTATTGGTAACAAACATTTTTTAACCCTAGTTCAACATTAACATTATGTACTGTGTGTGTGCGTGTGTGTGCGTGCCCGGGGGCGCGTGGAAACAGGGTATTTCTACAAACCTAAGAGTGAAGATGTAAGAAACTTGTCTATTATACATACAGCAGTCAGATACCTCCCTGCTCGGCTCCAGAACTTAACATTTAAAAACTAGATTGGTAAAAAAAATTACACATTTACACATTAATTACAATGATTTCTACACCTTAACAAAGAATATCTACTTAAAAAAATACAACACAAAGGCAATAACCCCCCCCAACAATACATGTCGACTAGACATAGTATAGCAATTTAATTGCCAAAACAGAAGTCACGTGTGTCTATCAATGCAGATGTTATAAAACAAAACACTTGTCCACCATATAGCTAGCAGCGTCACAGTATCTTCCATTGTTTGTCCTATGACTTTAAAAAAGTTCTGTACACTAATATACACATATGTACATGTATATATGTGTATATGTATACACACATATGAATATGTAAACAATCATTATATTTAAAGAACTAAAAGTTTAAAGCAAAAAGATATATACAATAATCTAAAAACAAGACATGCAAATATAAAAGTTCCTATTGCTTTAAAAAACGTGTAACTGTATACTATATACATATAATACAAACACATTCTTTTGTCAGCCCACATATAATGAACTTGGGTTTAATATATTCCATTGCTAACGTCCCACATCAAACATAAATCACCTATACAACTAGAAATAAGTTCTAAACAATTCACTACTATGTCAATTTCCACTGGCAAATGAACTTTTTTAACCTATGCTGTTTTATACCACATGTAGAGATTTCTCCAAGTTATGCAAAAAAACCCCTGTCCTATTTGTATACAAATATATCTGAAAACCATCAATGAAAGCAGACCTACAGTTGCAATGAAATTTCCAGCATGATGATGTCAAACAGAGAGCATTACACTATGCTCACCACTGAGGACAACATGGAAATGGAGCCTAATGATGCAGGGAACACAGAGAGGCTACATCTAACATCTCTTTGGTAAACAAAAATGCTTCTATCCCATTAAGTTGATCATATTTATAACAAATTTACAATGACGTATATACATGTTGAAAATTGCATGTTAGGCATTAATAACATTGTTTATAACAAAATGTTATCATAAATAAATTAATAATGAGGCCATATAATAATGCAACTGGCAAAACAAAAAATTTACAAACTAAAGGTAGACGTGTGAGCATGGAGGTAAGCCATCCCTGTGAGATGGCTTTGGTAACATGGCGCAACAGTCCTAATATACATATATATATATAAACAGCAATAACACTTGGTAATAAGCAAAGACCAACATATACATTTCAAAATAAAGAGCATTTACAGGATTATCTACACCCACAGAGCAGCCTTTCATGTCTGTGATAGCTGTGTTCAAAACCTCCCTCTCCCGGTCCCACAGCAATCGTCCATTCTAATGGTTGAATATGTACATCTTTCAGAGGTATTCTGACAGTTCTATTTTCATCATCATGTATTAAAATACTTCTATACACGTAACCAAACTCCTTGTTATAATAATTACAATACATGAGGAAATGGCGCAAAGCAACTATATTTGGCTTTTTTATACACATGGATATCTAATGCCTTGCTACTTCCTTTCCTGCTATCCCTGAGCACACAACAATGAGTCCAGCATTGTGTATAGCTTTAAAAAACTCTATATACAGAAAATTTTACTAAATGTGTTATTAGAAACTTCCCTAGGAAACCAGCTTGAATATCACAGCAACCGTTACAAAAATATCCAAAAATAACAGATTTGTTTACAAATGGAGGCCTCTGTGCTTGAGTTTATATTCCAAGGAAGTTAACGTAAACAAAGAATAAAATACAAGAAAATGAAACCATTATATGTTGAATTTCATTCTCTTGGTCTCCTCACATCAACAACAGTTCATTAACATTCATCAGTCACTGAGTATTTCCTATTTACATTTTAACAACATTGTCCATACCAATGTCCATCAATTGTTCAGCTTTATGTGGGCAATAAAGTACTTAGCATGGTTAGATTCTGAGTTGTTTTTAAAATGTGAATTGGAGAAAACTGGAGACCTGTGCATCAGGCATCTATACAAGTGTCTCAGATACACAGCTTTCAATGGTAGACCTTCTGAAGGGGAGTTGAGACTCCCCATCACAAAATATTTTCTCCAATGAAATGTAAGACCGACGGTCAAAACAGTATCAATCTGTGTTTCTTGTCTTTGTGGCTGGTAAAGCTTCTAGCTCAATTAGAATGTGCTGTGTGTCCTTCCTCTCCAGATTCCTGCGGGTTTGGCTGTGTCTACGTGATGTTGTCCTTCACACACCTTTGTGGGGAGGAATACGGGATGAGGATGCTGTCCCTATATGCTTTTGGCCCAGGCATCAATGCGTATTAGGTTGGGAGAATGGCTCTTGATCTGGCCAAAGACCCCTTCAGTTTGCATGAGGGTGAGATGCCCACAGGAGTCCATAGCTCAGGCAGGGCAGTTCCTCAGGCTGGGATCTCTGGCTCATCCATTGTACATCATCCTGGCTTTCAGTAACATTGTTTCTTGCTGTACAAACTTCTGGAGATTATTAGGGGGACCAGAGGGTTTGAGTGAACGAACATCCCAGATTTTGAGAATCCAAATCTTCAGAGATGGCAAGTGGAAGATGACCGGTTTTCAGAGTGGCAAAGGATGCTGGAAATACCAGTCTATGGAATCTTTCCCCTCTTCTGATTATTGCTTATTTATAATACTGTTGGAACATGATGTGGTTCGTCATGTCAGAGAGAATCTGAAGACAGAAGTAAGGCGACGGCTGGAAGTTTAAAAAAGTTAAAAGAGGTCAAACTGCCAACTGGAAAGGTAGGTGCGGAGCAGCCATCTACGGAGCCTGAACAGCAATCACCTGGCTACGCAGGTTCTTACTTTTGGCAAGAAACCCTTGTCCATTGTTCTCAGGCTCCAACTGAGTCCAATGCCTGCCCCTTGGTCACCCCCTCGTTGGCAGCAGCTTTCTAGAATTCTCTAAAATTCAGGCAAAGGTATCATGCAGTGGATCTGAAGTGATGTTTACGATGGCATGGAGTGTCTTCACATGGTCACTGGCCAGAATCTTCTTGGAGTGATCCAGACATGGTCTTGTCATTTTAAAAACAACTGTTCCACGTGTTCTCTTTAACAGCAAGTTGTAGAAGATGCTATCTATATACATTACAAAAGCTACACAAGGATATATGTATTTACAAAATTTTATGTGGCTACGTCCATGGTTACCACTAATAAGTAAACAGTTGTATACTCTCAATAACAATGAACTCTTGATCTCTAAGAGGTTGCACAAGAGATTCGTTCAAATGTTCACCTGCTTTTTTTTTTAAACAGGTAAGTTTTATTCTCTAGTGAGCTAGACTGAAACAGACGGATGACCTTACAAAAAACCCTTTTCCTTTCCACAGAAGCCTGAATTGAAATGTGAGTATCCCTCTGGCTGATGGACAGGCAAGTTGAATTTAAGATGGTGTCACCCAATTCTCTGCACCCAGCAGAGGCACAATCAAATGCTGTTGTGTCCGGACTGCATTGAAGAGTTTAGATTTAAAGTGGAAGCTAAATTTTGCCTAAAACTTAGTTATCTTTTGTTTCTTTATCAATATATTTTACCCAATAACTGACAACATACCCAATATGACATACAATCTATCCTCCAGATCCATACTAAATGCCAATTAATTACACGAGGTCTTGGAGCAAGAAGAGTAATGACTTTAAGGCCAATGAATTAATATTTTTCTCTCCATAAAACAATTAGAAAAGTCAATCCTTTCTTTCTTGTAAACATATTACCATACTTTATCAGGTTGCCATCTAAGACAAAAATATTGCTCAGTGAGTTGTGTTTAATTTTCAGTTTCCTCATTGTGATTCGGATTTTGGGGGGATGGGAAAATTTAAACATTCCTTTGGCCTCACTAGGACCTTAGCTGACTAGTTTGAGAAACACCCGGTCCATTCAGTCATGCTCACCAGAGAGTTACACATTAAGCAAAAGATAATTAGAAAAATATGACACATTCTTTGCCATCCTACAAAAATAAGAAAATCCGTATCAATGCCATAACTTATCCTCATAGAAATCATGTTTTTTAAAAATCCTGTGGGATCTCTCCCTATCTTCAGTCCAAGCCACAGAAAAGAGGTCTCCTTGTTTCAAATTTAGGTCCTTTTACAAGTCACAATTTTTTAAGTCTTCCATGATTGCTCATTTGAGTCCAAACCACAGAAAAGAGGTCTTTTCGTTTCACATTTAGGTCCCTTTCCTTTATAGGTCACATTTTTAAGTCTTCCATGATTGCTCATTTTACTGAGTCCAAACCACAGAAGAGAGGTCTCCTTGTTTCAAGGTTGAGGTCCTTCATGTCACAATTTTTTAAAAAATCCTCCATGATTGCTCATTTTTGAGTCCCACCACAGAAGAGAGGGCTCCCTGCTTCCATCGGAGTCCCTTCCTAAGTCACACTTTTCTAAAACAACAGGATTGCTCATTTTGTATTCGGTCCAAGCCACAGAAGAGGTCTCTTTGTTTCTAGTCTGGGTTCCTTCTTCAGTCACTGCCCAGTCTCTCTCTACATCCATACTCCTCAGCACCTCCCAGTACAGAGAAACCCGACTAAAGTGGCAACATGTCAAAGTTTGCCACCAACAGTGAACAGTCCATTGTAACACTATTCCCATTTAGAAGCATATTTACAAAAGTCCAATATCAATACCAAATATTGCCACCAGGATATTTACAGCCAAGCTATTAAATACACATTGAAATTTGCCACTAGAAAATAGCATCACCCATTACCTCATTGGTATTGCCAGTTTATGGCCATTTTAAATGATGCAGGAGTGATGCTTACAATACAACAACCATATGCAAAGTAATAAAGTTGTGCACAGTTCAGTAACCAACACAGAACACAAACTGGATAAAACACTCCCCCAAAGTGGAAGCATCTGGCAAAAATTACCATGTCTATGAGATAAACATGCTATTGAGAATACTACTGTTTTCTGGAAACTTTACTGTTCAGTTTCATCCAATTGAGGTCAATATTTGGGTAGTTGATTCATTATTAGAGACATTATCAAAATTAATTAATTTGCTTCCTCCAATCAGGTACCTAATTTAAATTTATTTTAGCAATTTGTTCCGATAAAAGGATTCCCATTCTCAAATTTTCAGAGTGTCCGGCCAATTATAAATTTGGTTCCTAATTGGTTCTATTTCAAGAAAAAAAGCAACCAATTTCTTTCAAAATTAAATGCCCATAGTCAATTTTAAATATTCCACAATGAATCCCATATAGATTAGCAGTTGTACAACAGTGCTGTCAGATAATGCCTATTGAATTCTGAATCAAACCCAGCTATTTGTTCTCTGTGTGGTGCCTGAACAGGGCATGTCACCTTCTCCGCCCTATACCTACTGAATCAGCCACGGACAAACTGTACAAGCCCGCAGACTGATTCTCATGTGCACTAAGGTTGGAGACAAGCCTGGTCTCATCTCAGCTGGCTACAGATGCAAACCCCTTCACCTTCTACTAACCCAGCTACACAGTCACCTCAGGAAAGGACCTGGGAGCTCCCCCATCCAGGCTGGCTGAGAACGAGGCACTGAATCAAACAGTGGCAGGTCAGTGGTACCTCCAACTCCTAACCTCCCCACACAGCCTTCTGATGTTCAAAGACTCACAAAGGAAGTCTCCCTTCACACCTGATAGATTCCCTTTAAACCCTCCTTTTTCCTTCCTCCCTGCGCTCCCCTCCCCACCACTCATTCCCTCTCCATCTCAGCCTTTCCAATGCTGTGTAGGGATTCTCTCTAGGCCACGTGACCCTCAAGAACGGATGGATGTTCTGGATGGTTCTCAGCCAGCATGACCAGTGTCCTCTCAGCAGTCAGGACCACCCTAGCTGGCACCCAACGTCCAAGGTCAAAAGACCGCTAACTCCCTCCTTTCCTTCCTCACTCAACTGATGTTCCTACTGTAATTCAGTTAGTAGAAAGGGCATCTTACTTCTCTCAATTCTCTAAGAGAAACCAAGCAAGTCTCTGAGGTAGTAAATATAAAAAAAAAATCTGGTAGGACAACTGGAACTAAACAAGGTAAAGAACTGTGAAAATACTTGTCTAACTTACTTTACAAAGAATGTAATTAATTGGAACCCCAACAGCTTTCCACTAAAAGCTGTTCACTCGCCACACTATCCACACCCACACTATTTACACACACTCACACACATGCATTAACAAATTAAGGTGACTATTTAAGGATAAGGTCTTAATACATTCAACTGTCCATGGTAACTTTTTTATACAGGTTTTCCTAAATACCTGTTTAATTACTATTCACCCCTCACAAGAGCTACTACAAGCAACGCACAAGCACTTAGTCATAGAATGTCAATCTCAGGTCATAAGATCCATTACTCACACAAGACAGATGTTACAGATGTTACAGATGTTAAAGAATGACGTGAAGACCCCATTCAAAGAATGCATGGCATTTTGGCAAAACCGTTCCTCTCCTGGGCTCAGATTCACCCACTGCTAACGCCTATTACCCCCCCTTGAATCTGAGCCAAACATTGAATCTCCATCTACATCTTGCCAAGATGCAAAAGGTGGTGACTTACTAAGAAAAGAATGAAAGGGCTCCCTCTGAGTGTAGGTGGAAAAAGTAAACTCATCTCAGACAAAAGCAAGGTGTCAACCAACTGGCACTTTCTGGCTCCTGTGTTGTTAACTGGAGCTGCTCCAAGGGGCTGGGGCCACGGGCTCAGGAAGCTCTGGTCCAAGGTAGGAACCAGTGAGGCTGTCATGAGGGTGTCACTTGAAATGCATGATGGGAAATTCCAAAGTGAGACGGCAGATGTGGTGGGTGGGGATGAGAGCCCACAGCGCCCTCCTCTCTCTGACTCGCCTGCCATGTTGATGGGAAGCCTGGTGAAATGTACAGCCTACAAACGGATGTTAAAGAAATGTGCGGCCCACGTGCGTGGATGGACACTTTGGCTGGACTTCAGAGTATTCATTCGGGTGACCTTCACGTCATTCACTTCAGACAACATAGCTCATCATGAGTCAAGCCCACGTCTTACCAACAGCAAGTGCACCTGGTTGAAGGTTATGCCTGTGGACTGTACATTTCTACCACCAGGAAGGCCCTGGCCTACAAGAGTGAGTGACTCATCAGCCATCTTTGACAGCAATTTCATTCAAGTGACACATGGGGATCAAAGACCATGAAACACCCAGAAATCTGTTGGAATCAAGTTGAGACCTTTGGTGTCTTACAAGAAAATACCTTAGAATCCACTTCCCCAAGCCAACTGTCCAAAAAATTGAAAAGTGGAACACCAAATATCACCAGACAGATGTAACGAGGAAGAACTGACAACTTCCTCTCCTCCATTAACATGTTGTAATCCAATTTAGGAACCCAGGCTACAGGGAGAAAATCTGAAGTATTCCAAAGTATAAAAAAATCAAGGTGGAAAGGTCAATGAGAATGGTCAAGAAAGTCAGTCAGATCGAACAGATATAGATGCTGCATGCGGACTCGGAGGGTCTCGGAGAAGCGCTCACCCTGACACAGGAAATCCAATGCTATGGGAACGCCACCCACATGTCACCATGAGGCCAGAGCACAAGCTGTTTTCCTGATGTCACCAAATTACTCCTATTGGGAGCCCTGTATTTTACCTTTATTCTTGCTGCTAAGTAACAAGGATGCTGCAGAAAGATTAAGATAAAGAAGCTATAACCAAAGAAGCTGCAAGAAGGTAAAGATGCTACATAAAGACAAATATGCTGCAATCAGATCGAGATGCTACATAAAGACTAATAAGCTGCAATGAGATAAAGATGCTACATAATGACAAAGATGCTGCAACAAGATAAAATGCTACAAAGATGCTGCAACAAGATAAAATGCTACAAAGATGCTGCAATCAGATTGAGATGCTACATAAAGGTTAAGAAGCTGCAATAAGATACAGATGCTACATAATGACAAAGATGCCAAAGTCAGGTAGGGAAGCTCACTAAGATGCTGAATGACAAAGACGCTGCTGAAGGCAGGGAGCCATGGGGCACAGCTATGTCCTTCAGCTGAAGACTGAAGTCACGTAAGGCTTCTTCCACTACAACTTGAGAATTAAATGGCAGCCACACCTGATGTCCCTCCTGACTGCCCAGTGCCTGTTGTCAGAGCCTGACTTCCTGAAGGCATTCATTCACCCACACTCACTCCAGAATCAGTGTCCTGGGACTGATGTCAAACACGTCTCCCTAAGCAAGCCACGTCCTCTCACTGCCCTGTGACCTCAAGCAGGACTTCCGGGCTACAATGGCTACAAGTGTCCGTCCCTGCAGGCACCACAGCTCGGCCCTGTCTGGGAGCAGGGGCTCCTTTAGAGATCGAGAATGGAGTTGGGTGGGACAGGCCTGGATTGTCATCACACGTTTCCACTGTAGGGGAGTCACTGACGGTTTGTAAGGGCTGTACCGTTAACATTAGAGAACTAGTTAATGCCACACATTTCTTGAACATTTACTGTGTAAGACCTTAAACCTAGGGCAGTGATTTTCAACCTTTCTTAATCTCATAGCACGTAAGCCAATTAGTAAAATTCAGTGGGCCACCAAAATATACAATTTTTGCCAATTTGACCTAAAGATAAGTATAATTTTGATTAATTCATACTGAACAGCCATTGTTGCGTGGACTCTTATAATTTTCTTTTTGATGGTTTAAGGGAGGGTGAGTTACATGCTTTAAAAATTTCGGGGCACATGGGTTGAAAATCGCTGACCTAGGTTACAGACAAGATCAATTGTCCTCAAACTGGAGCTGTGTCCTTGGGAAGGCATGTTCCACACAGCCGGCATGTTGCTCAACGTGAGGCCTTCCCCTAGCCACCACTAGATCCCGAGAACGCGGGTGTCGATGTTCCATCCCAGGCGGGTGGGCAGTCTCCATGCCTGGCATCCGCTCCCTCCGCACGTGTGCCTGTCGGGGTCCGTGGGTGGGCCTCCTTTGTTGCCTCCAACAGCACAAATATGTACAGAAGAGAAAAGGATGCGCTTGAAATGTGTGTGAAGGTTGTACACAAAGACGTTTGAGGAATGAACGTGTGTTAACTGCCATGGAAAGTATGCTCAGTTGTCATGTCAAGCTAACACTTCCTGTTGACCAGGTGTGGTGGTGTGTGAGGCGCATGACTAGATTTCAGTGACATATCCAAGCTCATGTTTTGAGATCATGAAGTTCAGACAAGGTCCTGTGTCATCATGAACCTAGCCACGGCCTTTGTAATGCACGCGGGCGTTTCTGTGCGCGGTTACTTTACCTGGAGGGGGCGGGTCTGTCCGAAGGGCAGGTGTGGCAGAGCTGGCTCAGCAGGACACGGGTCGCATCCCTCCTGTCCAGGTGTCACTGTGGGGCAGAAAGGGACTGCGTGAGCCTGGACAGGTTATATTGTGCCACACCCCCGTCAGGCCTTGTCCACTGGCTTCATACAACTCAAATCCTCAGCATTACTGCTGGGTGCCAGGCCCAAAGTAAGTAGGCGGCAACTATGACTAAAAAAACACCTTTCAACGTATCAACGGATGACAGCCTTGCAAACCTCATGATTCAGTAGCAACTATAATGAACTATAATGATCTACTTGATGAAAGCAATAAAGTTTTAATGAAAATGAACACAAGCCCTTGCCCAGAGGTTGAAGCATTGTCGGGCTGTGATATCCTTTTATTAAAAAAAAATCAGTTAATTAAACACAGAAAACCCAAAAGACAAAGCCTTAAGGCAGACTCGTCCTTGAATCTGTGGTAACAGCCTGTACTTCAAAGTGTTGCGTGATTTCACAGACGGAAGACCCTCCCCAGCAGCAGGGTTCTGGCTGGCATCTCAAGATGTCCGCCTCCAGTAGCTGTGTGACCTGAGGCCCAAACCTAAAGGCCCTGCCTGCAGACTCCCTGCAGTCAGATGTCCTTAACTCGCACAAATACCCCCGCCCCCCCGTTAGTCCCGGAGCAGAGCACCCAGAAAACGGGTCTTCATACACCAGTCACATGTCGACTCAGAGCTGTGCTATCTCGGCTGCTGAGGGAAGGAAGCCGTGCTCAGTGTGCTGCTTACCTGGCAGTCCATCCGCAGGCCCTGAAGCTCCCCTTTGTCTTGTGTGAAAGGTGACGGAGGCCAACAAGCCTGTGCTGGAAAAAACAGACAGTCAGTCCAGTCCCGCGTTGCTGAATTCATCCCATTCACCAGTTACACATCGAGGTCCCTGGTTTCTAACTGCATCTAAGCCCAGATTCCTCCCTGTCCCCTTTGTAAGTAATTACACGTCCATAACTGCAGAGTCTGACACCACCCGGGTTCCTTCTTAGCTCTTTTCCTCGACTGCAAACCAGATGCCTCACACCTCTGGGCTCCATCATCGAACCCAAGTGACACAATGGACGTAGTGCCCACTGTCCTTTAGGGTCTGAGGAGCCCCACGTCCCTCTAATACAGCGGTTCTCAACCTTCCTCATGCCGCGACCCTTTAATACAGTTCCTCATGTTGTGGTGACCCCCAATTTCATTGTTACAAATTGAACATAATTAAAGCATAGTGATTAATCACAAAAACAATATGTAATTATATATGTGTTTTCCAATGGTCTTAGGGGACCCCTGTGAAAGGGTCGTTCGACCCCAAAGGGGTCGCGACCCACAGGTTGAGAATCACTGCTCTAATAGAAGCCCCTGCCCCCTGCCCCCTACCCAGCCTGCCCAAAGCTGAAGTGTGAGTCCTTACCTGTGGGCAGGAAGTGGTGGTCACTCCCAGGTCATGGCCACTGGTCACGGGCAGAGCCCTGGATAAGCAGACCAGGGCGGGCTTCCTGTTCCACAGGCGTGATGATCCCCGTCAGCTTCCTCTCTCCATGGCCTCACAAGCCCTCAGCCCACCCCAGCCCTGCAGGTATGTAGGGCCCAACAGGTACAGAGACCGTGTGCCTCTCAGCTCACCACGTAAACGCATGCATGTGGAGGCTGTTACAATCGCCACGGCACAGTGCGAAGGTTGGAACGCAACACCATGTCCTGAGAGCAAGGCCCTTTTCACTCTGACCTCAACAAACCACAGAAGAGAATGCACACAGCCCTCAGTGTGTTGCTCTATCGTTTATTAGCGACTATCAGTGCGGCAGGACAGCTCACAAACACGCTACAGTTTCACGAGACACAGTGCAGAGAGAGAGACTAAGGACAACAGTAGCCTAGGGTCTTGGTGGGCGCATTCCTGGGGGCGGTGGACCTGGAAGATAAACAAGACCGCATGAGACAATCATCAGGGGCGCACCTGGAATCCAGGGGCCTGGGAGCCAACTCACCTCTGATCCCGGGGGGCGGGGGCCTCATTCCTGGAGGCGGCATGCCGATCGGGGTCCCTCGAGTAGGGGGAAGCCCAATGGGTGGGCCCATGGGTGGTCTCATACCCGGAGGAGGAGCCATAATGCCTAGGACAGGAAAACAGCAGGAATGACCAACAAATTCAAAAAATATGAACCGACAAAGCTGCAAGCAACGTGGCCGAGACGCCATCCGCCACTCAAACCCCCTGAAGCCTTGCCCCTGGACGCCAGGAGGCGAAGGTGGGCGTCTGTCCCCGGTTCCTGTCCGTGATGCTCCGCTGCCAGACCTACACCCATCAATTCCTTACCTGGAGGGGGGGTGGCCCGGCCCACAGGGGTGGGGGGTGTCCCCCGCCCTGGGGGGTACTGAGTCGGGGCTCCAGCAATGCTGGCCGTGGCCGCCACCGCGGCAGCCGCAACGGTGCCTCGTCCCTGTGGAGTCATCACCTGGAGAGGACGCCAGAGACACCCGGTCATGCCCGTCCTCCCTCGTTCAGACAGAAGATCAATGGGGTGACGAGCATTCGATGTCTGACACCCACAGCCCTGCGTGCAAGTCCCATTCACGGGTTCGGACACTGCTCCAGCGCCAGCACCTCCTCCATCGCACACGCCCCTACCGCCCGGGCCTGTGGCAGCTCCTCCCTGCGGCTGCCCTGTCTGAGCTCACGCCCACTCCTCTGGCTCTGGGCACGGCCCCCAGAGCATCAGACCTCGTTTCCTCACCTGCTGGGAGGGTCCCCCTACCCCTCGGACAGGGCCTGCTAGTCCCGCAGGAGCCTGTGGAATAGGAACGCCAGCTGGGACGCCTCTGCCAGCCGCCCTGCCAACCCCAGGGCCTCCTGCAGCCCCGGCCAGGGGGACGCGAGCGATGCCAGTCTGAAACCAGGAATAGCTTGAAGTCAAGGGACCACCAGAGCGACGCCATCCCCCATCACCCCTGGCATCCTCCTATTTCCCACCCTCCGTCTCCTGTCCAGTTAAAGGGCACCACAGGCACCTGCAGCTTAGCTGCTGATCCATCAAAAGGTGCTATTTTATGGGGCTGCCGAGACAGCAAACAGCAGCCCCCTGATCTCTGGGCACCCAGCAGTTCCGTGTTCAACACCAGGCGTGCAGTCAGATGGGGCACATGGGCCTAGGACCCCCTGTGCCTGCTGTGCTCAGTAGAGCAGCGCACCCTGTGCTGTCCCCACCCCTGTCCGCTTGCCCTGCTCTGTCCTTACGTCTTTGGGGGGAGGCCCCTCCACAGTCATGGACACCAGGTTCTCCCCGCGCAGCAGCACGAGGCCCAGCACCCGCTTCTCTTCTCGCTCGGGCTGCTTGGCGTTCTTTGGCCTGTGAACCGGAGTCTGTCTTAGTCACCTCGGGCCCGAGTGCGCTCAAAAAGAGGACTAACCAAGGAAACAACATGCAGACACTTCTCTG